AACAACAAAAATATTTTTGGAATAATTAAAGTAAATTGACTATAAATCTAAAATCAGGTGATATTAAGAAATTATTGTTCTCTCTGTTTGGGATATATGTTTATTATGTATCAGATGTATGTTTTTATTTTTAAGGCCTTAATTCTTAGTCAAATATACCTAAATTCTATAGGTAAATTGTATTATCTAAGGTTTGTGTTAAAATAATTCAGAATTTTTAAGTTGGTGGGAAAAAAAGAGAAACAATGTCAACAGAAAATTGCTGATTGTTGAAGCTTGGTAATGAGTATATACTAGTTCATTATATTATTTTTTACTGATTTGAGCATATGTAATTATTTCCATAGTAAAATTGATTTTTTAAATGGTAGCTATTTATACTGAGAAAATTACATTACTTACACTCAATAAATAGTAACTACTATTACAATTGAAGGATGGAGGGCTGAAAAACAAAGGTGGAGAGGTAGATTCAAGCTACCATCAAATAAAAACGCAAATACTAGCAATCAGTGAGAGGAAAAGAGTAAGACTGATGAGGTTAACATCAATGAGAGGGTGAATAGTCTATGGAAACACCAGAAATAGAGGACCAAGTGACTGTGGTTAGTTTACAGCCACAAACTTACAATTTTAAGCTCAGCTTATCTAAAATTGAACCCTCATTCAACTCCCACAAGCATTTACCATCTATTGGTTCTTATTTAATGGTACAAGCCAGAAATCTAGTAGTGAACCCCACATTTCTTTCCCCTTCACCTCTTAAGTCTCTTGAATTCATCATCTGAATGTCTCGCAAATATACTAACTTATATCCATCTCAGGGATCATCACTCTGGTCTAAGCAACATCATTTTTTGTTTGGTTTACTTTAATAATCTTCTAAATTTATTTTTACTACTCCCCTTCCACATCAGTTTTCTTTGTAGCAGCTTGAATAAAGTGTTTTAAGTTCATATGCATAATTCAGTTGGTTGTACGTATTTGAGTTTATTTCTGGATTCTTTATTCTGTTCCATTGGTCCACGCATCTGCTCTTGTACTAGCGTTATGATGTTTTGGCTACTATAGCCTTGTAGTATAATTTGAATTCAGGTAATGTGATGCTTCCAGCTTTATTCCTTTTGTTTAGGGTTGCTTTGGCTTTTCTCTTTTTTAGTTCCATACGAATTTTAGGATTTTTTTTTTCTGATTCTAAACAATGGCATTGATAATTTGATAGGGATTGCATTGAATCTGTAGATTAATTGGATAATATGGTCATTTTAATAATGTTTTTTTCAGTTCATGAACATAGGATATTTTTCCATTTGTTTGTGACATCTGCAGTTTCTGTCATCAGTGTAATGTAGTTGTCCTTATAGAGACCTTTAACCTCCTTGATTAAGTATATTCTTAGACTTTGACATAATAGACAAAAGCATACACCAAAAAAAGGACACCTTAGTCAACAAATGGTGCTTAAAAAATTGGATAGCTAAGTGCAGAAAAATAAAACTTGATCCCTATCTCTCCCCATACACAAAAAATTTACTCAAGATAGATTAAAGACTTAAATGTCGAAACTGAAATCATAAAAATCATAGAAGAAAACCTAGAAAAAATGCTTTTGGGTATTGGTCTAAGCAAAGAATTTATGGGTAAGTTCTGAAAAGTAAATGCAACTAAAATAAAAATAAATAAATGGGGATTAATTAAACTAAAAGTCTTCTGCATGGCAAAAGAAATAATCAATAGAGTAAATAGGCATGGGAGAAAATATTACAAACTATACATCTGACAAAGGACTAATATTCAGAATCTACAAAAAACTCAAACAAATCAGCAAAAACAAAAAATAAAAAACCCCATTAGAAAGTGGGCATGTGACATGAACCACCATGTCTCAAAAGAAGATATACAAATGACCAGCAAACATATGAAAAAATTCACATCGCTAATCACCAGGGAAATTACAATTAAAATCATGAGATACCACCTTACATCAATCAGAATGGCCATTATCAAAATATCTAAAAACAATAGATGTTGGTATGGATGCGTTAAAACAGAATGTTCACACACTATGAGAATGTAAATTAATACAACCTCTATGGAAATCAGTATGAAGATCTTTCCAAGAACTAAAATTAGATCTACAATTTGGTTCAGCAATCCCACTAGTTGATATCTACCCAAAGGAACTGAAGTCATTATACAAAAAGGACAACTGTACTCGTATGTTTGTTACACAATTCACAGTAGCAAGAACGTGGAATCAATCTAAATGTCCATCAACTGATCAGTGGATGATGAAAATGTGGTGTGTATGTGTGTCTATATAAGTGTGTGTGTGTGTGTGTGTGTGTGTGTGTGTGTATTCCATTATATATGGGATACTATTCAGCCATGAAAAGAAATGAAATAATATCTTTTGCAACAGCATGGACAGAATTAGAGACCATCATCCTAAGTCAAGTGATGCAAGAATGGAAAACCAAAAGTTACATATTCTCACTTATAAGTGGGAGTTAAACTAGCGAACTGTGTAGGTGTATAAAAATGGTATAATGAATATTGAAGACTCAGAAGGGGGAAGGTGGAAAGAGAAGTAGGGGTGAAAAATCACCCTTGGGTACAATTGCACAAGAAAGGCAGGAGATTACACTTAAAGCCCAGAGTTCTTTTTCACTATACATTACATCTGTAACAAAAAATATTTGTATCCCTACAACCATTGAAATAAAAATTAAATTTAAAAAAATAGACCATGCTACTTTCACTTCAGAGCCTTTGAATATGGTATTCCCTGTGTTTGAAAAGCTCACACTCCAACTGTTCTTTTCACCAAACAGACTTCTACTAATCCTTCAGATGTCACTTGAAATGTTACTTCTCCCAAAAATCTGCCCTTGATGATCCCTCATGAGCCTACATAGGTTCTGCTGCCATCTTCCCTAATTTCTCTATTTAATTTTCTTTTATAGTAACTTAAAAAGTAATGTAATCCCAAAAAAGGCAATTTAAAAATATATAGTTGAAATATTATTTAAAATTACTAAAATTAAAATATTACTTTGATAGACTACATCCTTCATGGCAGTAGAGACTTCTTTTTTGTGCTTACTGTAGAGTCCCCATCTCTCATCATATGCTTGCAAAGTATTTACTGAAGCCCTAATTTTAGAGTATAGAGTATTGCATTAACTTCATGCGGGTCATACAATAATCCTCCCAAATAGGAAAGAGTACTTTGAAATCCCCAAACAGGGAGACACCTAAGGAATGTGCATCTAAAGTCAGGGAGGAGCCAATCTAAGAGGAGTTCAGATTTAGGAAACCAGGACCGCCAATACGACAGCTACACATAGGTCAGAGGAAATAGTGACCAATGTTGGAGACAAATAGAGTGGTCTGCCAATTTAAGAAAATCAACTCTGTTAATTAATAGGACAGTGTACATTTTCATCATTCCTCTAAGCAGGTTCTGAAGATTGTGAAAAATAGACTTGGCAGAGCAGACACAAAAGCTCTTCAAGAGCACGGTGGAGACTTTCTAAATTATTTCACTCTGAGGCTTGATGGGGGGCAAGTGCAAGGCAAAATTCTTAATTAAATTGAACTCGAGAAGTTGAATTCTGCCTGCAAGTAGATGGAAAAGAATTGCAAAAGCCCACATGTGGTTACAAGCGGTACAGAACCAAGACTCCCCAGGGACAAGAAGCCCTGTGTTAATCTCTTTGTGACTCTGAAAGGAGAGAAAAGATTAAGCCTCCTTGTGGAGATCATGTGATGACTTCCTGATCTCAGTCAGAGACAGCAGCATTTCCATGGAAACTTCTCTTCCTCTTCACCCACACAATGCTCCATCTCCCTGAAAAGGCTGCTCTAAGTCTCACAAAAGTTGTATGGAGGAGCCTTGATGTTTTTAAAATAACGAGACAAATTCCAGCAAAAAGAGAAGAAAGCAGAGTAGGCTGACATTCCAGCATCACCAAGATAGTGATGGCTTCCCCTAGAATCCCTCAGTTAAGGGTCCAAACACTGATGATTTCCTCCAGGTTTTCACTTTCTTTCCCTTGTTCTTTAAGTTTAGGGGACTACCAACCTCAAGTGTGGAGCAGGATAAAGATGGAAGCTTTAGAGGGGGAGCTTTGATTTGACTATCGTCATTCTCCAGCTTACAAGAGGGCTCACCTTAATTCAAACCACTTAAAAAATCTATAAGCCCCTCCATGAGTTGGTCCCAGGTTTAATTTTCTATGATATGGGGAGGTCTATCTGAATCTAATGCTCCAACTCAGCAGATGAAATGTACCTCCCACATCTACACATCTCCCTTCCTCAAGTGTTGTCTCCATTCTCATTTGTTTGTCCAACTTATGTCCACCCATTGAGGTATTACTCAAGGGGTACTCCCTTAGTAACACTTGCATACTATTCCTGAACTATGCAATCCTTTCTAATATCCTCAGTTCACAAATACATTCCTCCTTTGACAGTTTGATGTACTTACCATCTTAATTACTGACTTAAAAACTAACATAAGTAGTTACATCTTATTTAAAAATACAATGCATTTCAATTTCCCTAACTCACTATATATACAGAGAAAAAATTCTAAAAGAATTGAGATGATCAAAAATATTTGCTGAATGAATATATTTCTCCTTATTAATTCACTGACTAAATTGAGAATTTCTTTACAAAAGCCACATTACAATTAAAAAAAAATCCCTAGTTTCCAGAACTTATAAAGTAAAACAACGTGAATACAGCATTAAAGGGGTGAGGAAAAGGAAGGAAGAGAAAGAGAGCTTTCTGGAGTGGAATATCCCCACATGAAGCAGACCACCCAGCTGTCAATAGAAACTATCCTTAGGAATAGACAGAAAAGCATCAAGACAAACAGGGGGAAGTATTAGGAAGATTTTTTTTCTGGATACTTTGTATAAAGTAAGCAAGCTGAAATATAATCATAGACAAGAAATAATCTCTGGGCTCTGAGAAAATTTTTCCCTAGTTCTACAATTGTTGTAGCCTATATATGGTCTCTGAGAATAACTGCTTTGAACCCATAATCGCCAATACTTTCTGACCTTTCTTAATAATAGAAGCTCTATGCCTGACACTATTTCTCATTTGCAAATTCAAATCATCATTAAGTTTTAGTTAATTAACTGAATTTGCTTAGGTCGGACATTATAATTATTAATCTCATTGTTAATATTCTAACAATAAGACTTAAACTATTGCTGGCAAACAGTGTTTTTCACTTCACATAGGCCTATCCTACTAGTAGGACACATGCCAACTCCAACAAAAAGTTAGTCATGTGCTTTTCAGAAGATGAAAGCTTAAGATAAAGGCTGAAAGTGTTTGATGCTGGAAGTGGGAGTGGCATTATATAGGTCTCAGCCAAGACATGTGATAGTCACTGTAGGGAGAGCTGGAAAGAGAAGTCTGTGGCTCTGATTAACCAGCTCCAGCAGACTTGTGAGGGCTAGAGGAAGAATGCTCCTGGTTGTATTATACTGCCTGCTGTGGAGTTTCCAGACCTCCGCCGGCCATTTCCCTAGAGCCTGTGTCTCCTCCAAGAACCTGATGGAGAAGGAATGCTGCCCGCCATGGACGGGTGATGGGAGTCCCTGTGGCCAGCTTTCAGGCAGGGGTTTCTGTCAGAACATCCTTCTGTCCAACGCACCACTTGGGCCTCAATTCCCCTTCACTGGGGTGGATGACCGAGAGTCTTGGCCATCTGTCTTTTATAATAGGACCTGCCAGTGCTCTGGCAACTTCATGGGATTCAACTGTGGAAACTGTAAGTTTGGGTTTTGGGGACCAAACTGCACAAATAGACGCCTCTTGGTAAGAAGAAACATCTTCGATTTGAGCGTTCCAGAGAAGGACAAATTTCTTGCCTACCTCACTTTAGCGAAACATACTATCAGCCCAGACTATGTCATCCCCACAGGCTCCTATGGCCAAATGAATAATGGATCAACACCTATGTTTAGCAACATCAGCATGTATGACCTCTTTGTCTGGATGCACTATTATGTGTCAAGGGACACACTGCTCGGAGGATCTGAGATCTGGAGAGACATTGATTTTGCCCACGAAGCACCAGGTTTCCTGCCTTGGCATAGGCTCTTCTTGTTGCGGTGGGAGCAAGAAATCCAGATGCTGACGGGGGATGAAAACTTCACTGTTCCATATTGGGACTGGAGAGATGCAGAAAGCTGTGACATTTGCACAGATGAATACATGGGAGGTCACCACCCAGCAAACCCTAACCTCCTCAGCCCAGCATCTTTCTTCTCCTCATGGCAGGTAAGATGTGCTGGACAAACAATGTCGGAGCAGAAAGATGCTTTAGCAACTGCCTCCTTGGGCAGGTCTTTATAAAGTTCCCTTCTGACCTTGCCTGCTCAGGATAAAAAAGAAAAAGTCCCCTGTTAAAAGCTCTCGATGTACACACCTTGCATGCTTCCTTTAGAGCACACTTTAGATATTTGTGCGATTATTTGTCTAATATCCTCCACTAGGTTTCTAAACAGCAGTGAACAAAGTACCTGAATCATAATGGTATTTTTCAGCACCTAGTATGATGCCTAGCAAATGGCAACAGCTCACTATGTATTTTGTGAATGAATGAATAAATGCACATTTAAATGATCAAACAAACAAATGATCCAGACTAGTGTTTCTGAATAATAAAATTTTTATTTATTCACAATAAAATTAATATGTTGCAAAAGTTAAAAAATGCAACTCTCTGGCCCTATCCCAGACCCCTTGATCAGAGTCTTCCCAGGAAAGGGTCCTGATGAGGCACAATTTCCTGAATGTCTGTAGTGATTGTTAGCATCAGGAATGTTTGGGGAATACCTATTGGATTATATCTTCATTTTTAAAAATATATAAATATCCTTATACTCAAAATAGGTAATGAAAACAGTTAATATTCGGTGAGCATCTAGCATGTGTGAACCCTGCTGCAAGTGTTTTTGTGCATTAACTCATTGAATACTCTTATTAACCTTTCCCCATTTTAAAGCAATAAAGGTATTAGGTAACTTGCATAAAATCACATAGCTAGTAAGCAACACAAATGATGTTGTTCTCGAATAGTCTGGCTGCATGAGCACTCTATACCATTTCCAAAGATGTGACTGCTGTGGAATCATTAGATAAAAGGATTAGGCCTGTTCTGTCTCGCATTTTCTTTAGGCTGCATAAGTAATTAGTTTTCTTTCCAAATGCTTGAGAATCTTATAAGGTATTACTGTTTTGAAATTGAATTCTTATTTTTTCTATTCTGAATTTTTCATTCTGGATTAGGGGAAAAAGGTAATCCAAGTAATATGTGTTTATTTATCATTGTAAAATCATATACGTGAAAGGAACGTTTTTCTGTGTGTCATCCAAGAATTTCTAATGGAGCACTTTAACTAGCAACACTTTATGGAATTAAGTCCAGCATGTGAATGGGATAGGAAATGGCACTCAGTGCCTCACATTCTGCAGTTGTGAAATGTGAATGACTTTTCCCCACCAAGTTCACATACCTTCCAAAAGGAGCCAATTTAAGTTCACGGACTAATGTCCACTGTATAATTTCTGGTGACATTAAATGTCAACCATTTAGTAAGAATAATGAATATCTTTGTGCAGAAAAGCCTAGAAAAAAATATTCTTGAAAACAATTGATTTCAATGAGCATTCCGACCGCCTATCATAATCTATAAAGTGCAAACTCCTGTCTAGCTCTCACATCCTCTGTTACTGCTTAAAATACTGCCAAGCTTGGACGTGGGATTTTTCAGTCACTTTTAATGCTTTCCTTAACTAGATAGCTTCACTTGATCCTGAAAGACTGGAGCATTGTCTAAATTGCCAAAGACAGCTACAATATCGCATGATCTCACTTATAAGTGAGAGCTAAACCAAGGGTCTGCAAAGGCATATAGAATGGCATACAGGACATTGGAGACTCAGAAGCGGGAGGATGGAAAGTGGGGAGGAATGATAAATTATCGATCAAATACTATGTACACTAATGGAGGTGGCAGGTACACTTAAAGCTCAGACTTTTCCACTATACAAAGCAGTCATGTAACCAAAACTCATTTGTACTTCTAAAACCATTAAAATAAAAAATATATTTAAAAAGCAGCAACATCTACATTTATTCTTAATAGATAAAAATAAATTTACATTTAATTGAATGAGGTATATACCACCAGATGACATCCAGAATTATATGTACATGAGTTTTCCTACATATTTATTAATTATTGAACAGAAGTTTTTTTTTCCTTTTTTTATAATTGTGGTTAATTTTATTATTATCTAGAGAAAAACTTTTGGGTCTAATAAGCGCTGAATTGAAATTGTTAAAATATTAACTTCAACCTTGTTCTATGATTAAAGTGCTATGTAAAACTGGGCAGTCTTTTTAAAACAAAATGAGGAAATGGAGTGGAGGAAGACACTAAAGAAAAATGAGCAAACCACACTCTCACTAAAGAAGATGAAATGATTGAACATTTGCTGTTCACCTACTGATAATCAAGGGGTTACCGATGGCAGAGGCGACAATCAAAACCAACTCACGTGGGCTATTCCCATTCCTTCACACATCCTCTCTGGTTACAGAATCCTTCAAAAATTAAGACTGGTTGCTTATATTGATTTAATTCAGCGATTCTCAGTGTCAAAATCACCTATGGTGCTCAGTTTAAAAAAATCAATCAATCAATAAACTGTCACATGGGTTTAACCACCCCCCAACATCTTGCCAGAAATTCAGATTCTGGTGTTGTGGTGTAAAGTTCAGGTGTCTGTATTTTTAAAACCTTCTCAAGTGATTCTAATGTGTAGCCAGCGCTGAGAATCACTGTTTTAATGAATATAGAGATTGTTTTGGTATCTATTCACTTTCACATTACAAAAACACAGCTTCTGTAATAAACACACCACTAATTTAAATGCTTTTGTCTGAACTGAACACTCAGATTAAGAAATAGTCTATTTTCTGTGAAATAAAATCGAATAGCTTCCAGATGAAGTGAGTTCATTAATACCTTCCAAATTAGCTAGGCTGATAGCCTCTTTCATACAAAAGCTTTCATGGATTTTTTTTATTGGTTTTAAATATCTTTTACTTGACCCAGAAATGGAAGTTTTAGAGATTTGATAGCATGTATTAACTCTAACCTGAGAGACAGTCAATGGTATCTAGTCTAGTGCGGCATTTTATAAAAGACAATAGAGAGTCCTAAAATGGTAGCATGATTTATCCAAGGTCATGCATCTGAAAACTGAGCCAAGTGGCAACCATCTTGCTCCTTATTTATAAGAAGCCAGTTAGGCTCAGAAGAGGTTGAATAAACCACTAATTTCTGGATGTACTATAATTTGACAGGTAGTTGCTTTTGACATTCTTAAAATTCACTTTCCCAGACTACATGGGTGGACAAAGTGATGTAATCATTTTAATGTCATAATGAAAATATTTTATTAGACTTTTATTGGTCCACCTTCCTTACTCAGGTAGAATTGACCTTCTCCCCTTTGTGCCATCGTTATACCTCGCACAGATTATGTGTAATTATGTGTAATAATTTTAAAACCTGTCTGTGTCTACCAGATTGTCAGCTACTCCAAGTCACAAACCATTTCTAAATATTTTTGTATCCACAGAGTGCAGGACTATGATATACATAAAACAGGCTTAATAAATGCATGCTGAATTTAAAAAAATTTAACATCAAAGAAATGTTAGATCCAGTGCTATCATAGGTTAAAAATTAAACTCTATGCTGGTGGATTTCTACGTTTTTGTAGCACTAGATCCCCAGTGGCAAGGATTCAACAATGCTAACAGCAGTCACTTACTCAAATTCATACTTAACACATTTTGTGAAGTTCTGTCTGGCAGTTCTATATATGTGTATAAAGAAGATCAAGCAAATCGCAACATAGCAGAGTGTTATTTAAATGACATTAATAATATTTACCTGGCAGAGTGTTCTACTAAATAAAATAGTATATTAAAAATTAGGTAGTCAGTGTTAGTTTGCTTAAAAACCTTACATTCATAATTTATGCATATTATTTGTTTGTTCATTTATTTACTTATTTTTTTAATGTCCAAAGCTTTTAAAGTAGAAGCTATGTTTGTCTGCAATGAAAATAGTTCATTAGATTTGGAGGTGTGGAGTTGCTTAATAATATTTAAGTACAAACTACCTATGCTCAACACAATTAGATCAAATTTTATACAACCAACAGATAAGCTAGCCTTTAAAAAGAAAAAAATTCAGAAATAGTTGTCATGATGAATTGAAATAAAGAGGCAAAAACATTTCCTAACTGATAGATGTGAGCAAGTTGTGGCCAGGGAATTCACTCATCAGGTGAAAAGCACATCACATGGAAGCAAACAGTTGGAAGAAAAAAAATCACATTTCAGCAGAGAGTCATGGGTTTTAGGTAACCATGACAACAGCTCAGTGAAATAACAGCTTTTCTTTTTTCTTTATGAGAAAAATTCTGTGGAATGTCATATGGTTTACATTTTTTTCCAGATAAATCTCTCATGCCATAACGAAACCTTTGCTCCTAAAATCTTTTAATAGCAGGCAATTTATTGCTATTTGCTTATGTGTAAGAGAACATGATTTAGGCTCACCTTCCCTGTTAATACATCTGTTTCTTCTTTCTATCCCCCCGCCTTTTTTTAACTTGGGACACCTGATTTTTTTTCCCCTAGCATATACTATAAATTAACTGAGTTAAAATACACAAAGAACCATGCTGTTGTTTGAAGACCTGGGCTCAAATTCTACCTCTACCACTTACCAGATTACACTGGACAAGTTATTTAGAATTGTCGACCTCATTTTTAGGTACAATTGCCATATATGTTTGTATGTTTTGTTAATAATAGGACTAAATATAATAAAAAAGTAGAATAATATAGTAAACAGAGTTTAATCTTTTGGGTCACATCAGTATGAATTTGAGTAGACTTATGTAACTTACTTAGTTATAAGACCTTAAGCAAGTTACTTATTCTGAGGCTATTTTAGTCTCTAAAACTAGAATAATATAGCTTAAAATATTACTGTGATGGGTCCTAATATAATATGTTTATGTAAAATGGTCAGTTTATGTAAAATGATTGCCATTGTTTGAGTTTCACGTGTAGAAAGAATAATTATATTTTTAAATTGTATATAAAAGTTAAATATTATAATAATGAATATTCAAACAGTATCATGGCCTCAGAGTTAAAAGAGAATTTGGTGGTCATTCCAATGGTC